AACGTATTTTAAGACTAAAAATTAAACATTTTTATTGCAATTATGACATTAATTATACATTTATAACATTTTAATCACTAATTATTTTAAATTCGACAATTGAATCTGGTCCATTAATTGATTTTTGACAAAATTGCAGCAATTTTTATCATCTGTTTTTGTAAAATAGTTCTAAATAATTGATTGTGGTTATTATTTACTCATTTTAATCAATGATTATTTTAACAATAATAAATAAATAACAAGTGTGCAAACATTTTACCAAAGTTTTGTAAAAATATTTTAAAAATTTTACCAATAAATTTTTTAATGATGTATTTTACAAAATGAAAAATCTATGCATGTAAAATACATGTAAAATACTATGTAAATTACATACGTAAAATACATGGTTTGTCATATTGTCAACCCTAATTATTACACAATTGTTAAGTAATCGTTGTTTTTATGACAAAACACATGATTAAAATTGTGATACTTTAAGTCAATTGATTTGTTAATCCAAAAGTGAGAGATAAACCAAAAGCACTGAAGTTTTGACACTAAATGTGACGACAAATAGTATTTAATCTAATATTCAAAGTATTGTTTCGAAAAATATATGAAATATTAATCCAACGATTGATTGCTTTAATCGCTTGATATAAATATATATATTTATATAAATTCATAGAAAAATTCACAACTTTTTAAATTTGATTTACAAATAAAATTAAATTGTAATCAAAATGCCAATCATTTTAGACATTTGGGTTCTAACCATCGCTTTTGTGGCCAAAGTGTCCCAAAAATAACAACTAAAACTTGAAAATAATTGTAAAATTGTTTATAAATTATAATAAAGTTTATTATTTATTAAATTTGATTATTATTTTTAAAATTTCAAATGATTTTTATTTAATAGATTTATATTAGTATAAATTGTAATGAAATTAAACTATAATTTAAAAGTGATTAATTTAAATTTTATTAACATTTCTAGAGTTTCGACAAATATCTTGGAGTCTGTGTTCGCCGTAATCTTCAGCCAAACCTAAGAGTTCCGTACAGTTCTGGTCATTCACTTCGGGTCTCAATCCATACAAAAACATAAGAAACGCTTTAATTGTGTCATAAGAATAGGCATTGATTTCGATCTCCCGTTCGGTAAACATATTTTGTTCACATATTTCCCAAAACTCTTTGTTTCTAATCTTAAGAACAGATTTGTGACAATATATGAACTGATTTTCGACAATAAATCTTAAATCATAATCCAATCGATTGTTAAACGCTTTAAACGAATGCTTTTCATAACTAAAAAATTGCAAATAATAAAAAATTAATATTTAATTTCAAAACTGATAATCAAATACCCATTCGATACGATCGGATCACAACTATCGGTGCTCTTGGAGTCAATGGTTCCCGTAGTGTGTGATTCTTCGCACTCGGAATCAGATAAATAAATCTCTTCATCGCTTTCGGAACAGTTATTTGGCCGCAATTTGTGACATTGATTGCCTTCTTCAGAGGAATAGATCTCAACAGTTTTGGAACAGCTCTTCGTCGATGCCTTGTTGGGCAACAAATGCTTTTTAATCGCTTCAATACTTTGAATGCTTAAACGACTAACAAATAAATCCGATTAACAGTTAATTGTTAGTTATAAAGTTAATTCAATATCAATACTTACGGTGCGATTGAAGCACTTTTAGTGGCAATCTTGCGGCCAAAGGATCCCGAAGTAACACTGGATTTACTATTTAGTAAACAAAACAATTAAAACACAAGTATTTAAAACAATATTTAATTTGTAAACTAATTGTCAAAACTTACACTAAATTCAGTTCACAAGAAGCGGTGTTCTTGGAGTCAACGGTTACCGTATTCTTCATGTTATCCTCACATTCATTGAGACATAAACTAGATTTCGTTGAATTACCGCTCGATTTACTATTAAGTAAAAAAACAATTAAACATAAAATAATCAAAACAATGTGTGATAAGAATGACATGACTTACGGATCAATTGATTCCGATATCAAAACATCTGACGTGCCGTCGGGTAATACAGAACCCGATTTCTGGCACTTATCGTCAATGTGTGGACCGATTGTATTAATAACTAAATCATTGCGTTCTTCTGTCTCTTCTTCTTCAGACCAATAGATTTCTTCATCGCTTTGGGAACAGCTCTTCATCGATGACATCGATGTTTGAATTAAATCCACAATCGATGCGAAAGTCCGGTTATAACCACAATATTTGGCGTAAATGTCAAACAGTGAACAACCGATCGGTATATCAATGAGAGTCCAAGTGATGGAACCGTCGGCTTTCCCGAGAATGAACAGCTGGCCGTCAATTGCCGTCACAATCACTACCCGATTGTCATAAGTAGTGTCAATGGCTTTGACGTACTTATTGGGGAAAATTGTCAATAATGGGTCACTTTTGGGATCGGGTTTCCAGTCGTAACTGCCGTACAGGTAGACAACACCGGCCGCCGCCAGCAGTACCGTGTGATTGGGTCCGCAGATCACCGTTTCGTATATGGGATCGGAATTGTGGCCAATTTTAAACAATTGCGGCCAACAATACGTCTTTCCGGGCACTACAACAGCTTTGGGACCCAATTGTTGGCTATCATTACTGCCCCAGACGTAAGCGATTCCCGTATCGGTCAGAGCCGATGAATGGCTGCGACCGCAAGAAATGGACACAAATCTATCTTTAATTTTGACTCTAAACGGTCGCCAAATCATTTCGCCCTCTTTGTGGCCGCATTGGCGCCGATCGTTGGCCCCAAAGCTGTAGATAAAGCCGTCTTTGGTCAGCACAAGACTGTGATTATCACCGCATGAAATATCTGTCACTGGTTTGGGTAGTAATGTTTTATTAAGTATTTTGATTGGTTGAGGGGTTGACATGTCTTCAACAGATCTGATGCCGAGCTGTCCGCTCGCGTTATGTCCCCATCCATAGCACTGTCCACTACGGGTCAGTCCAATACAGTGTCCCAAACCATAGCATATCTTCGTTATCTTCTTTCCGGTGAGAGTGGCGTTCAGTTGCGGTCTTGCGATCAAACCATTCACTCCGAGACCCAATCGACCGAAACGGTTGGTCCCGAAGCCGTAGACCCGGTCATCGGCGGTCACAACAATCACTTCATCGCCGTTATCACCGAAAACAGCCAATACTTTGATCTTTAGTTTGTGGTGATCTTCGGTGACCACCGTTTGTGGACACAAATCGGGAAACTTTACGTAAATATTCAAACTATCCATTCATTCATTGATTTAATTAAATAACGATTTATTTTCAAAACACAATTCAATGCTTTATTTGTGTGAATAAACAATACATAAGTGTTTCGCTCATCACTTAAAACCCTTTCAATAGAGCAATGGCTTCACTGCTAAACACACTATTTGTAAATTACAGATTAGTTTAATATTTAAAGTGCTATTCATTTAATTAAAATTACAATTAAAAGTTTTGCGTTAATTATTATTTATTAGTTTTAATATAATTGATTAAACAATTTGATTATAAAGCGATAAAAATATTATTAAAGCTATTTATATAAAGTAAATGTGAGTAAAATTTAATTAAATATCGATTGCATTAGTCTTTTGAACAGTTCTTCAGGCATTGTCTCAAATGAATCCAATTTGAAAATGGATTTGATGTCAGTTTTCGCGAATTCAACGCATCTCTCCTCCAACTCAACGCATCCATTGGTGATAGACTTCTCATACAAACTACAAATGTTTGATAAATCAATTGTCTCATCACTTGATCCCAATGTCTGTCCGCAACATTCATGAAGTACTGATTCGCTATAAAGTGTGGCCAACTTTAAGACTTCGCGAGCGATTCTGGGAGTGATCTTCGGTTTGATTGCATACAAGAACTGAAGGAATGGATAGAAAGAGTCGTAAGAATAGCTCTTAATGTGAATCTCATTATCGATTGAATTGTTATTAATTTTATTCAACATTTGCTGACATTTTTGCCAAAACTGTTTGTTTCGTATTTTAATCACAGATTTGTGACAATAAATGCGTTTATCGTTAAATACAAACAAAAAATCGTAATCGCATTCGTTGTCAAACATGTCCGATAAGTGTCTCGCAAAGAGATGCATAGGAATCAACTCTTCGCTAATTGCCATCACATCTGATCCACTGCTGAAACCATTGCTATTGAGACTATACTGACAATCACCTCCTCCGCCATAATCTACACCATTGATACCATCGATGACTTTGTTCTCAAAGCAAATCAAATCTTTTACCACATTCTGACCAATAGGTTCGCGGAATGTCTTATTATCAATGATAATGGCCTCAAATGTCATCTCAAGTGTTGTATAAACAGCGTATATATCGTACACCGTATGTGTGGCCATCGGTTCCGGCTGTGGCTGCGGTTTGCGTAACTTAGAGCCGCCCCACACGTAGTACCGGTCGTCCACCGACACAGCGATACACAACGCCTGAACACTCTTAGCATAAATGTCTTTGAAACGGATCCCATCGGCCACACAAAACGGTGTCCATTGAGTGTCGGTCGAGCCGTTGCCGATCTGCCTGTGCTTATTCTCGCCAAACGCGTACACCTGTCCATCGGTGGTCAGTAGGAGTGTGTGGTCGGGACCGCACACAGCTTTGCTAACCCGATGCCGGAACCGTTTGACCGGTTCTGGTGTAGCGCACGCCGGCATCTGTTGGCCGGGGATCAGGTCTCCGTCCATGTGGTGACCCAATTGGCCGCATATATTCAGACCCCATACGTAGGCCCGGCCGGTGTCCGTCACGACCGCCGTATGATTCCGACCGCTGGCTAACCATAACACTCGACCGCCAAAGTCGATGTCCAGAGGGGTAGGCGTTAGGCGAGAGATTAACGAGCCGTCGCCCAATTGGCCCATCAGATTGCGGCCAAAGCCATACATATGGCCGACACGGGTCAACACTATAGTAAAACTGTTACCACACGACACGTCCACTACTGGTCCGGCAATCGGTATGAGTTGCGGTGCGTTTGAGTGGCAACGGGTCCGGCCGTCGCCTAATTGTCCGTAACTATTATCGCCCCAACCATAACACCGGCCATCACTCGTCACTCCAATGCAGTGCCCGAACCCGTAGTAGACGTTCGCCAGCCGTTGACCGCAGAGTGCGGTGACGAGTGTGGGATCAGTTACGGGACTCGTGTCCGCCCCTACGCCCAGACGTCCGAATTTATTATCACCGAAAGCGTAGACCTTGTCATCAGTGGTCGCAAAGAGTACTTCAGATCCGTTGTAACCGAAGACACACAACAAGCGGACAGATGTCTTGAGCCGTCGGTCGTTCATCACTGGTCTGAGTATTTTGAATGCCGAGACGATCGGCAACTGATCCATGGAATGGATTGTCATTTGTTTGGCCATTGTTTTGATGACAATTGACTGCACTTTGCATTCAAAACAATGTAAACAATGCAATCAATTGTGTGATTAGTTTATCAGTTAAGGGTTTTGTAATTCCTTAATTTCCATTATATTATTCTTCAAATCCGGGAATTTGAGGCAACATTTGCTGTATTTTCAACAATTGGTGTCTAATATTGGGAAACATTGTGTGAAGTGTAGGGAAACGCGTCAATCCATTCTTTAATAAAGTTTTGTAAACTTAATGGAGAGAGTATTGAGACATCTATTGACAAATAAACTGTACTTTGAGTTCAAATTTTGCATTCAATCAAATGGTGGCAAAAATTAGCGCAAAATTTAAACATTAATTACTTTTGTAATTAAAACTTTTTAATAATTGTTTTTACTTAATATTGCATATACTTTATAGACGAAGTTAATTACAATTATGAAAGTATCTGCAATCAAATTATAATATGATTATAAAAATTTTGTTTATTTGTCAAAAATTTTTTCACAACTAATTCATAAGAAAATACACTAATTATTGCGATAATTAAGTTGTGAAATGATTTTCATATTTATTATAAAATTACAATTAAAGAGAATGTCTTTCAATCGCCGATCGCTTGAATCAAACGTCTGGACAACTGTTTGGGCATTGAGTGAAAGGCATCCGATTTGCAGACATCTATCAAATAAGTAGACACAAAGTCAATGCACTTCTTCTCCAACTCAACGGATCCATCATTTATGGCCTTTTCATACAAATGGCAAACATTTGTCAAATCTATTGCTATTTCGCGGCTCAACGCGTGTCCGCACATCGCCTTCAGAACCGACTCGTCATAAATTGTGGCCAAATGTGAGACTTCGGCGGAAATGTTGTCATTGATGTCGGGCTTCAGTCCGTACAAGAACTGGAGGAATGCGCGGAACGATTCGCTTAAATAGCTTTTAACAGTAATCATGTGTTTATCTGATCCAACAATTGGAAGCATTTTTTTGGCACAAATTTCCCAAAAAGTTTTGTTTCGATATTTAATAATAGATTTTTGACAATAAATGGATTTATCGGTGAATTTAAACTCCAAATCATAATCCGATTGATTGTCGAAACCAATTGACAAATGTTTCTGGAATTCAATCAAAGGCCTTAACTTTTGAGCCGTATTTGACATCACATTTAAGTCACCGCTCGTTGTCTTCACAGATATTCCCGAATCACTCAAACGACAAACACTTCGCCGACTCTCGACTCGATTGATATTCGGGTCATTACTGGCCGTACTTTCGGTGCGGTCTTCACGAGTGCTGAGCCGTCGATCTCTGGGTTCGCGTATGACATCAATAGTCGATAAGTTATTAGTTTTAAAGACAATTGTCTCGAATGTGATCTCAATTTGAGAATAAATGGCAAAAACATCGTAAACGGTGTACTCTTCAGGCTTTTCGGGGATCAGTTTAGGCTTATAATAGAGAATACTTTTGTGAATAAAACCCCAAATATAGTACCGATTGTCGACCGAAAGGCCAATCGAATGACAGCGACCGCAATAGGAGAAGATGTCTTTGAATCGGATCTCATTAGTGATACAAAGGGGTGTCACTTGAGTCTTCTGACTCCCATTGCCCACCTGTCCGTATGTATTGTCACCGAACGCATAGATGTGACCATCAGTGGTCAACAGTAGTGTGTGATCGGCGCCCGCAACGGCTTTTTTGATCACAACCCGATCTAAACCATTGATCAGTTTCGGCGTCTCAAACGCCGGTAAATCGCGGCCAACGGGAAGTCCTTCGTAGAGATTGTGTCCCAATTGTCCGCAAGCGTTGATTCCCCAGACATAGACCAGTCCGTAGTCCGTCAGCGCCAGCGAGTGATTCTTCCCGCAACTGATGGCCACTATTCGGTCGCCATTCAGACGTACGGCAGTCGGACTGAGTAGTGGTATGAATGAGTGGTCACCCAATTGGCCCAAATTGTTGCGCCCAAACCCATACACCTGACCATCGCTTGTCAGCGCCAGCGTATGACTGTTGCCGCACGCGATGGCCACCATTCGCTTGTCGGCCAACTCTTGGATCAGTTGCGGACGATTGGAATCTTCGTTAGTGCCGACGCCTAACTGTCCGTAACAGTTCTCACCCCACGACCAGACGTGTACGACCAGCCGCCGGCCGTCAGCGCCAGACAGTGGCCGAAGCCGTGATAGAAGTTGACCACTCGTTGACCGCTAAGAGTTGTGTTGAGCTTTGGTTCCCAATACTGGCCGCCGTCGACCCCCAGACCCAGTCGTCCCATC